CAGGGCCGCGTCGTCCTGGGAGAAGCGCCGCGTGGGCGGGACCTGTGGGCACCCGAGGGCTTAGCCCAGGCGCCCTGGCCAGTGGGCCGCTCCCGGAGGTCTGGCCTGCGGTCAGTGACTAGGCCCGGCCAGCGAGGCCTCGCCCACCCCGCGGCCCTGGGAAAGGCTCTGGTCCTACCTGCAGGTACTGCATCTTGTCCTCCTGCAGGGGCTGCAGAGGGCAGAGCTGGGGCAGGCCCCCCTCCAGGGCAGGGAGCTCGTACTTGGCCCTCCTCTCCAGGGCCACAAAGTCGCCCCCGTAGCTGTGGTCCAGGGAGCGCTGCAACACCAACTCCGTGCGGACGCCACCCTCAAGGCTGCTGTCTGCAGGGCGGGCAGAAGCTTAAGGCCTGGGACATGGGGGCCTCCTGGAGCAACTCCTGGGTGCCCCCACGCAGACACAGGGCGGCGGGCTGCTCAGAGGGCAGGGGCAGGGCAGGGTCCTGGTTCAGATCCTGACTGTGCCACCTTGCAGCTGTGGCGCTGGGCGGCCACACCCAGCCAGTGTCCTTACCTACGGGGGTGGGATGTGAGGTCACCCTGGGAGCTCTGGGGGCACCACCTATGCCCAGGGGCTCATGCTGCCTGGCATGTAGCGAGAGCTCTCTTGGCACTGTTAGGACTGAAAGGAGACAGGACCTGGGTTAGAAGCCCCTGGTGCAGTAGGCTGGGGACCCCCGAAGTTGGTACTGGCCAGGACACCCAAGTGGGCATGCAAGGGACACCAGGCTTGGGTCTTTTAGGGGTCCCAGTACATTTGGGGGATGACACAGGGGTGTCTGGCAATTGAGGTTGGGGTGACCCTCTCTCTCTCCAGGGGCTGGTTACCCGGACGCTGTCACCCGCAGCCCCAGGGGCCTCACCCAGCACTTACACTCCCTGGGGGCCACTCTCAGGCCGTCTTCTCCGTCGTCCAGGTCCTCATCGTTGGCCATGAGGGCCACGCACTTCTGCCAGACAGCCTTGAGGTCGGCGCGGTAGCGCTCACAGGCCCAGAGGAACACCGGCAGCAGCAGCGCCTGGGTCACGGAGCACCACAGCACGCACAGCGCCATCCAGGGCGCCGGGGCGTCGGCCCGCAGGCTGCTGAAGCTCACCACCTGCGGGCACAGGGCCGGCCTGGGCCAGGAACCCGGCCCCGCTCCCCGGCCCCGCTCGCCGTCTGAGCCCTGGGGCCGACGGTCCACGGCCAGGCCCCGCCCACGGAGGCCCTCGGCCCACGGCCCCCTAGCCAGCTCCCTGCAGTGCCCCGCTCACGCCAGAGGGGTGCGGCGGGCCACGGGTGCCCCTCCCCCTTTGGTTACCCTAGAGAACAAGCTCTCAGTATTACCGGCTGTGGGACCCCTCGCCACCGCCTCCCCGCCTAGCTCCGCCCTGGCCAGTGGCCTCCCCCACCGCCCTCGCTCGGGGTCTAGGCCTCGGACTGCGGAGGAAGGGAACCAAAGCGCCCAGGACCGGAGGCTCGGCCAGGTGGGCGCATGTCCGGCAAGAGTCCAGGGACACAGCCTTGGCCGGCTGTCCGGAGGAGGCCCTGGTGGGCCCTGACCCTGGGCCCCCGCCTGTGCTGGTCCGGACCTTGGGGGCTGGACTGGCGCTCTGGGGGCAGAAGCGCCAGACGGCAGTCTGGGGCAGGCCGGGGTCCCGTCGGCCAGGCCGGACCCAGCGGCCCGTGGCCCCGGCCCCTCCTGGCCGGCCCTTCCTCAGCTCCTGGGGGCAAGTCCAGCTATGCGACAGAATTCCTGCCCACCCTGCCTCCCCGCTCAGAGCCAGAACCAGTTCTGCCCCGCCGAGCCCTGTGTCCACCCTGGGCTCTCGACTCTCTGGAAGCCGGTGGGCACGCTGCCACCTGGTGCCCTCCCGAGGCAGCGCGGCAGCAAGTCCCAGCCTTGCTGTCCCCGGACGTGGGTTCAGGGCCCCCCACAGCTGCCCTGCCTGTCCGCAGGCCACTGTCCCCTCGGGGCCTTGATCTCCAAGTGTGCAGCACTGGGGGTGTGACAGCGGCCCCCCCCCACCCCACGCAGCCTGGCGGCTGCCTAGCCCCAGGCCCACCCCAGGCGGGTCCCTGACGGTCTCACCCACCAGCACGGGGAAGCCCATGAGGCAGTCGTAGATGACGACGATGGTGGCCACCAGGCCCGTGACCTGCAGCGACGTTTTGGGGGGCTCAGAGCCGTCGATGGAGGAGCGGCGCTTGCCCTGCGCGTCCTCCACCACGATGGTGGGCACGGTGAAGGCGCGGCGGTCAGCCCGGCGCCCCCCCTGCCCCACCAGCGTCTGGAAGAGGGCGACGGCCGTGCACACCGCGCCCGTGGCCACGCTGCCGCCCACCAGCAGCAGGAAGCAGACGCCGAAGCCCAGGCCGATCTCGGCCGCCATGAAGCGGCAGCCGTGGGCGTAGAAGCGCTCGCCGGTGTCGTGCCAGCCCACGGCCGGCAGCGCGGACAGGACGAAGGACACCATCCAGATGCCCATGACCGTGTGCACCGCCTGCTTCCTGGCGTTGCTCAGCCTGCACGGGAGGGCGGGCAGAGCCGCC